AGAGAAGAACACCAGAGAAGAGAAAAGAAGATGATGAAGAACTTATTAGAAGGAAAAAAAACAAAAGAAAATCTAACAACAGGAACAAAACTTATATTATCAAAGAGAATGAGAGAAAAAATTTCATCAAAATTAGAACTTAACTCTGGAAAGACATGCTCGTTGACACAAAGAAAAGCAGAAGAAAGATAGGGTTTTCAAGAAGAGTTGTCTCTGTTCTGATTTTTGAGTAGCATCCAATGCACCCTTGGGAAGTGGAACTTGAAAAGAACCAGCTCCTTGCTTGTGAGGGTTAAAAACCCTTGACACGCATCGATTGTAGTAAAATGTTTTTTTAAAAAAATTAACTATTTTATGCTAAAATGTGCGAAAATAAAAATTTTATACTATTATAATAATATATTTAAAGGGTATTGACAGCTGTAAATTAATTTATTTTGTTAACATTCTGTTAGACCTTGTTAGTATTTAGTTAAGCTTAGATGTCCTAGTTAATGACATGTGTATATATACGTGTTATACTATTATTTTTAACAGTACTAATAACTTTCCAAAAAAAGGAAATTCTTTAATTACCATATTTCTTTTCGCTTTGGTTACAGTTATGGTATTAAAATTTATTTTAATAATTTCATTGTTTTAAGTGTTGAGAGTTGGGACTGATATTATTACGTGTCAATTTGGCTATATTCATTCTTAAGTCATGTAATATTTTGATATTTATTTCAATATTTATATTATTATATACATAATATTATTTTTTATTTAATTACTATATTACCTGTTCGACTATCGGTCCAACTGGTCTGACCATAAGAACAGTGGATTGCTAGTCTATTCGGCTCGATATCCGATCTGACTTTTAAAACATTGCTCTTACGAAAGTGGAAGCATAGGGATTTTTGATAAACCTGTGAAGTATCAACCCATCATTTCTAAGCGAGAAGGGTCAAATCAGTCTGAGTGACCACAAGAGTCATAGGCCACTTCTATCATGTTGATGAATTAGTACCATTTGAATCGCTTCAATCCCCTAACTTTCAATGGTAGTTTGGAACCTATAGAGGCATCATGTCACTTGCAATGATTAGGTGAGAAAGTTGTGACATGAGTTTAGGAAGTTGCGACAATACTTCTTTCTTGGTGAATGCAACATGTTAGGTTAGCAAGCTTAATAAGGATTCAATCTACTAAGCATGAACCCCTATGAGGGGAAAAAATAATCAAACCAGCTTGAGTGTCCACAAGAGCCACAGGCCACTTTTATCATGTCTAGTATGTGGAAGCACTTGAATCACTTCACTCCCACAACTTCCAATATAGAGGCATCATTTCACATGCAACGATTAGGTTGGTGTGTTGCGGCAATACTTGTTCCTTGGTGAAGCAAATGCAGCATGTTAGATTGGTATGTCTAAGAGAGGCAATTGATTTGCCCTAGTGACGCATAATTAACAAGAAAATGTTGCTTGCTCTTCTTTTTTTTTTTTTGAGTAGAAAAGGAATTCATTAAACAAAGATATGTACAGGGTGCCTACAACTCGAAAGGCAAGAGAAACAACAAACAAAATAAAAGAAAGACAGAGCACTAGACTTCAGAGTCAGTTCAGTTGGCTATAGAAGTCCTTGGCTGTAATAATGTGATCAGTGAAAGAAATGGCCTCATTGACCAGGCGGAAACTGTAAGTCCTCTCATTGCTGAAAATAAGAGTGTTGCGAGCGTGCCATAACCTCCAACATATAACTCCAAATAAGACACACCATTGAGGATTGGTCTTCCTACAGCTGAGGTTTTCCTGAAACCAATCTGAAAGGCTAATCAAGCTGAAGCGTGTCAGGTGTGAGGATGGTGTGATTAGTTTCTAGCACTCGACCGCTAGCCTGCATCGTCTTAGTACATGATCCACATCTTCTATGCCTGAGTTGCAAATCCCGCAGAAGGCGTTACTCGTCATGTGCCGTCTGGTTCTCTCACTGTTAGTTAGCAGCCTCCCTCATATGGCTAGCCAGAGGAAAGTTTTGATTCTATTCGGTCTTGGCCATCTCCATGCTAGCATCCATTTGCTTTCTTCTTCATTTAAATCATTCTGAGTGAGTAGATTGTAGGCCGATTTAACTGAAACTTCACCACTTCTCTCTAGGTGCCAATAGCACCTTGCTGGCGGATCAGTGCATAGGGGCACTGGCGTTGCAATGATCTCTTTTGTAGTCTCCTGGGGGAGTTTATTCTTGAACTTGTTCCGGTCCCACTGGCCATTTGGGGTTATAAACTAGGATATTGTTTCCTGTAATTCATATTCTTCAAGAGGTACAAAGGCAAGGCGCTTTAGCAGACCATGATTACCAATCCAGTTATTTGTCCAGAATCGAGTTTGGCATCCGTTTCCAATGCTCCATTTGATGCCCGAGAAAATTTTTTACATATAAATAAAAATGCATAAATAGAAACACTACAAAAAATATTAAATTAACGAAGGAATTTAGTAACAAAATTTTTGTCACTAATCAAAATCAGCGATAGATTAGTAACCAAATTTAATTAGCAAAGATACTACCAATAAAATTTTTTTCTGTAACTAATTATTTAGTGATGAAATTCAAAATTCGGTTGCTAACTACTGGCAGATTAGCTATGAAAATTAGTGACAAAAATTTTTGGTCACTAATCCATCGCTAATTAGTGACGGATATCCCACATAAATTTTGTCATAAAACAGTGACAGATTTGTAACAGAAAATTTTGTTACAAATAGGTGACAGAAATTTCGTCACTAATCTGTCGCTCAATTTTTTTATCTTGTAAATTTAAAATATCATGTGGCAACCATTGATTGTCGTGTCATGTTTGTGATCGCCACCTCACATTCTCCTCTTTTTCCCATGCCATCACATCATCCCTTCATTTACACTATCGCCACATGTCCATCATTGTAAGCTACTACATCATTAATGAACGCCACCTCACAACCTCGTCTCTCTTCCATATTGCCACGTCATCCCTTCATCCATGTCATTGCCACGTGTCCATCATTGTGAGCCACCATGTCATCATCGACCGCCACCTCAACTCCTTATCTCTCCTGTACAGCCATGTCATCACATTATCCACATCATTACTATGCGTGCTGAAGTCTTTGCCAGTTGAACTGAGAAACACTGATGAAAGTTTTATGCAAAAATAAATATATATAATATTTCTAATAACAAATACAAATATATATGATAAATATTATATATAACTTAATATATATTATATAATTTAATATATTATTATTTATTTTAATTTAATTTTTGTATTTAGTAAAAAATTTCCTATAATTTATATTGTTATTTAAATATTTAATGAAATAATAAGTATATTATATATTTTTATTTTTATTTTCTTTTATAATATTTTTATTTTTTATTTTCATATAATATATTATTCAAAAATTATGATATATTATATTTTTATTTTATTAGTACATATTAAAAATAATTATTATATATTTATATTATATTTTTTGTGACAGCTCATTGATGGAATTGCAATGGAAATTGGTGACTGAAAAATTTTATCACTAGTTTCATCACAGAATGTTTTGTGATTGGAGTTAGTGACAGAAATTAGTGACAGAATTTTTTTGTTACTAATCCTTTACAATAGAATTAACAATGGATTTGTGACGGAAATCCGTTGCTAGTTCAGTGACGGAATAAAATTTTATTATTAATTCGTCGATAATTTAGAGACAGAATTTTTTCATCATTAATTTTCATTATAATCCTTTTCAACAGAATCAACAACAGATTTATGATGAAATTTAGTGACAGAATAAATTTCATTACTAATCCGTTGCCAATTTAGTGATGGAATTTTATTCCTTCACTAATCTAGCGACAGAAATTTTCCGTCACTAAATTCCATCACTAATTTTAGTGATGAAATGTGTGACGGATTAGCTAATTTCCTATTTTTTTGGTAGTGGAAGAGAAGTATAAATTAGGTAACATATTCCCAACCGAAAAATATTGGCTTAACATGAAACATAGACCCCAAGAAAATGAACTGTATAAAATAACATCAGCATGAATTGAATGAAGTATTTGAGGAAAAAACACCTATAAAAATAACATTATTATAATTATATTATTATATTTTGTATTATATTTAAAAGATTAAAAAAATTCCTATATCATCATTTATTTGGTATTTTCAATCAAGTACGAGAGAAAAACAAAAATTTCATTATAATTTGTTTATATTATATAAAAAATATTTTTAAAAAATAATAGTTAGGGGTTTCCTTTACAGGGCCCTGTTAACCCACACTGTTTAAATTTTAACCCATTACGAGCTAACTAACAATCTGTGGGATGGCTTGTATTACTACTCTTAGGAAAAGTTTAATTACACATGTGACCTCAATCGCTCTCTCATCAACCTTTAAGATAAAAGTTTAATGGATTAGTAAGGAGAGACTTTTTTCTCAATTAATTAATTATTTAAAAAAATTTCTACATATAGCTACCTACACTGTTATTAACCAAACTCTTAACATGTTTTTTAATTTAAAACTCAAAAATCGATTGTATTCTTAGTTACCAATGGAACTCTGAATTTCATTTAAAAAAAATTAAATAACTGAGATTTATAAGTTTTATATAATAAAATTAAATTAATAATTTAAATTATCAAATTAAGATATATAATATTTAGTCATCAATTTAATGTGGAGTAATTAACTGTTATCATTAATAAATTAATAAATCACGTAAAAAATCGAAAATATAACCTTTAAGACTTTGAGAATAATATTTTCTTTTCGGCCGTAAATCTTGAGTTTCATATTTAAAGATGAAATTTATTTTGGTATTAATTATAAAGATTCAAACTGAAGATGATTTTTATTGAAACTTCACCGTTGGAAAAAAGTATCCGTTGCATTTGGGGGATTTAACTTGATCGCGAAGCAACTCTTCACTCCAAAACAGATGGGTTAACCGACAAAGAGATCAGTGATAGAGTGAAGTAGGGAGCCGCAATCGATGACGAGGCGATGAACTCCGAGCCAGCGACGGCGATTTGATTGGTGGCCAGCGTTAATGCCTCTGCGTTTCTTCGTGCTTCTCTGCTGCAGGTGATGCTTCTTCTTCTTCGAATTGCAAAAGAGGAACCGGAAAACCCCACCTTTCCTTTTTCTTTTGTTGAACGAAAGTTACTTTACAAATTATTTGATGTTTTCCTGCGGGATGTTCTTTGACGGATTGGAGTCTCCGAACTGAACAGTAAACATATTTCGCTTTTGGTTTCTTTTTTGCCACTTTTCTCCATGTTCGACTTTTCCCGATATATATATATATATATATATATCTTGGATATATGTTTCCGACACATCCCTTCTCTCTGAAATCAAAGGAACCATTTTTATTTACTATTCATCTCCCAACCCTCGCTAATCTCTATTACTTTTCTAGGTATGTTTCTTGATATGTTAGTTTGATATGATACTCTCCATCTTATTATATTTGTTCTTGATTGTTTTGCTGTTTTGTGATTGAATGGATTGTTTTCCTGTGCTATGAGCCTGTCAGCGTACCAAGATTGATCGATCTGAGGAAACTTTTTTTTTTTCCAAAAAAAAAAAAGAAAAAAAAGGAAGAGAAAACAACAGATTTCTTCTCCTGCGGTTCATTGGTTGGTTGGGAGGGTTCTTACTTTTTTTCTTATTTTATTTTTTTAATAATCTTTGTAACAAGGGCAAAACATCCTTTCAATTAATTTAAATGTTCTAGAGTTTTTTTTTTTTGGCCAGGTCTAGCGGTTTTATTATATGAGGCAGTAAATCTACATCTGTATTTGATATGGCAAGAAAAATACTACTAAAATAGAGCCTGATCTTTGTATGGGTTGTAAAAGAAGAGACGCTGGCAATGAAATGGGGTAGATCAGATGGCTGTAGGCCTTCATTTTAGATCTGCCTCACCGTATGTAACTAACTCTTATTTCTCAAGTGGTAAATAGAATTGTAAGCCCGCGATGCCCATAAGGAATGATTTGCGAATGTGGGAAAGTTGATATTGGTTCAAAGCCATGCAAAGCTGTTGTAATTATTCCCGCCTGGCTTATTTCGGAAATGAAAGTTTTTTAATGCAAATAGACATGCTTTAGTACCTGAGCTTTTATATTTAACGCAATGATGCTATAAGGCTCATTGAGAATTAGATCATTTGATAATGTTGCTTTAATGAATCTCATGAGGTATAAGGTTGCATGAGGTATGTGGTGGCACATTGTGCTATATACATAAGCTATTTCCTTTTCCCCGTTTTCATTTTTTTCCCTTAATTTTATTCATTTACGTTGTTTTTTAATTTCAGACTTTAGCTAGCCAGACTAAGATATACATAATTCTTGAGTTTGTCATGGGAGGAGAACTAAATGATAAAATTGGAAGACTATTTTTTCACTTCTTATGCCATAGATTATTCTAGGTTGATTCTTCTTTGATTATAATCTGCGTCTGACCATTTTAAGTGAGTGACATTGAAGTGATGACTTTCTGATTCTGATAAATATTAGGTGTATTCATGGTTTTATATATATGTGTGTGTCTGTGTGTCTGTGTGTTATATATATATATATGTATGTATATTTCGTGTTTCTGGATGTTTAGGTTCAGCAGTGGAAGCTTTCAGAAAATGATGCAGTCACTACTTTTAGCAACTAATAGATGCTGCTACTCATTGTCACAATAAGTCTAAACTTGAGAATTAGTTCATTTAACTTGTTTGATTTGGTTTGACATCCCAACTAGCATCTTAACATTGTTAAGCGAAAAGAAACTAAACAATATTTTCTCTAACTTGTTTGTTTTGATATGGTTTTGGGATATTCTAAAATATCATTTTGGATTCAGTACTTATATTTAGGTGTAAGTTGGGGCTCAGGTACGGCCATTGCACATGTTCTATCGCTGTATGTCTCACCATCAATTTATATTAGTTTTTATTTGTTTATTTTGTCCAGTGAAATTCAAGTGTTCTGAAATAATCTCATATTATCCCTCAGTAACTGATCCTTTTAGGTACATGATGGGATTGGCCTATTCTTAATGCCCATGAAAAAAGTGAATCTCTTGCCTCCCAGTATTAAGAATTTGCAGATTTCCAGGTTTCTTAAGAATGGTCAGGAGCTCGTATCATGTTAGAGGTTTTTGTCATAAATGAAATCTTGAGTGTCAACTGTTTTGAACCTTCACTGTTACAACATATTAAGGAGGAAGAATTAACAACTTAGTTTGCTATACTGATGTTGAACTTGTGTATGGAGATAGGAGGGCTATTGTTAGCAAAAGTGGTGGCAGTAACATTCTGTGTCATTTTGGCAGCGTCACTGGTACAAGACTTGGTTCAATTCCCATGGCTGCATTTCAAGCTTGCCCTGCTGTTGCTTTACAGGTAAGCCATTTGGTCCTTTTTCTATTAATTTTGTTATATATATAATACCCTTGGTTCTCAATACAAGACCCAATCGATTAACTAGAGAAAATTAAGGAAGCTGAAAAATCACTTAATTATAAAACATGTTACATGATGTATTTGAAATATTTATGTGGATCATTATACTACCTTTGATCCTTAATATAAGAGCTAGCTGACTAAATTGAGTAGATTAAGAAAGTTTGTTAAGTTAGTTATTTGTAATAAATAGATATTGTTTTTCCTAGAATACCCTTGCTAATCACGTATATTAGCTAAAACTACTATTAGCTAATTACATATATCAGCTAAAACTGCTATTACTACAAGGACTATCTTGAAAAAAAGTAGATAAATGTTAGAGACAAAATGGATTGGGGTTTTGTATTTAGGACCAAAATAAAAATCAAACGAGGTCTTATGTTAAGGACCGGAAGTAGTATTATATATGAGACAAATTAGTTTGGAAAAAAATGATAAATATAACATTTTAAAGCAATTTATTCAATTTTTTTGATCTTTCTAAATTAATCAACTGAGTCTCATATTAATGACAAGAGGTAGCGTGTGTATTCATGTTGACATTGTTTAGTTTTGCCGTTATTAGGCCTAAAAACATAATGGGTAAAATAATTAGGTTCACCTTTTGGACTTTAGTGTCAGCCCATTAACAAAGAGTACAAAGAAAACAGAGATGGACCTAAGCGTTGAACCAATTGGGTAAAATGATGGGTAAAACACAGAAGCTTAACAGTCAAATTGGACTGGATCATGGGCTTATGACAAATCTGACCCAGACTGGTCCATATTCAGCCTTAGTTCTTGTTAACTTGTTTCTTTTGTCACACACACACAGATATTTATATAAATATATATATATATATATATAATTTTATAGTTTTGAATTATATGCTATTCAATTTTGTTCCGTGGTGGCTACTAGCTCATCGGTGTGGGATGAAAGATTCATAAGGGGAAAAAAATGCCTCCAATGGAGGTGATAATTTTTATTCTCTGATTTTGTTATGAAGTTGTGATGAATTTGTGATCTAATTTATGTGTTTGTTATTGATGGGAAATTATGCTTGTGTATGTTGGTTGAATTAGGGGCTCATATGAAGTGAAAATAATGTAGTGGGGTCCTAAGTGCTTAATTTATACCCTTTGCTTACAATTTTTTTTATAACAATACCCTTTATTTATATTGTCATTACTATATATATATATATATATATATATATAATCTTTTTCTTATGTAAGGTTATTTTGGAAAAGAAATGATATTGGTGTGTGCAGATTTTGTCACTTAACAACCTTGAAACTAAAATTTGTCATGTGTTGGCAACTTTTTTTTTTTTTTTAATTGTGGTTCAATGGTCATTTTCCTTCAACTGTGCATCTATGCTTATTTGTTTTTATTCAATGTATTATTAGTTATTTGATTCAATTTTCAGTTTTGTGTCGAAGCTTTGAGGTTCTTGGGTTTTGTTGAAAGTTCATCTGTTTTTTATCTTATAAGCAACAAATAAATAATATATATACATATGTAAAACTAATTTATTATTTATATAATTAATTGATAATTAATATGTGTATATATATTTATAAAACTATACCTTTTTATAACATCCTAATTTTAATAAAAGGATTTAGAGGTATTGAAAATTAAATTACTCTTCTGGTCCTAAACTTAAGACCCTTATATACACTATAAAAAGGGTTTTATATTTAGGATCGAAGGAGTAATATCTTATGCTGTTTTTGTGGATGTTAAGGTTGAGTTAGATTTTGTTTTGGAAAGTGTTTGTTGATTCTGTGTCTTTCGCCACAGTGAATTGTATAGCAAACGATACAAAAATGGGCGTCGAGCCTTTGTTGTTCATCGAAGCAAACATGTTGGAATTTGATCTTATGGAGTTTTTGTGGATGTTACGATTTTGTTAGAATTTTGTTTTGAAAAAGTGTTTTCTGATTCTGTCTTTCAATGTGGCGAATTGCACCGCAAACAACATAAAAATGGGTTTTGAGCCGTTATGTTAGTTGTCAAAGTGAACATGTTAGAATTTGGATTCTAGCAATTAGAAAACCAAGAGAAGGGGGGAGGGAGTGGAAGTAGCTTTGATTAAATCTAGCCTTGGGAGACTATAATAGCGTTTTGGAGTTTAAAAATTCTCGGGTAAGCCCTTCTGACTTAATTTGCTTCTTTTCCTTGAGAATTTTCTGATTTGAGGGTTTGGGAGTGTGATCTAGGGTTCTTGAAATGGGTAGTGTTTTAACCTAATCTTTTCAGCTTATACGTAGATAAGATATTTACTTTATATATGGGTGATGATTTAAATGGTAGTTTAATGATTGGATTATATTTATTTGAGTTAGGTAAGAGTTTTAATTGGTTTAGATTGTTGCTGATTAAATTTTCTCCATGGTATATTGTTGGAATTTTTATTTCATTTTTTATATTTTTTTGATTTGGACTCCGCAAGAATATGTCAATATTTTTGATTAAATCTTCTTGGCTAGAAGTTCTATAGGAAAAATTAGGTATTCCCTTCCTCCACAGAGAAATGTTTATTCTAATCCCCACCATACAAATAATTTTGCATTGTCAATATCTTTCAGAACACAAGAAAAGATCAATTTACTTTATTATTTATAGAATATTATTTAGATAGGGTATATTATTTCTATAAGATATGATATATCTATATAAAACTAAACAAAAACAATCAAATCATGAATTTACATATAAAAATTTTTCATATTGATGCATATGATTTTTTTTTTTGGCAATTAATGGATGCTTTGAGGTTGATTGATGTATTCTTTGGAATTTTGGAGTTGAAAAAAAAAATAATTATAGCTTTGAATTGAGGAGCTATATTAGATCGAGTGACTGGTGTTCTTATGAAGCGGAATCTTATGGTTCAACCTAGTGCATGTAATATAGTTCAAATAATTATTGTACTAAGTTATGAAGTGAAGTTGTGTTGATATTTGAAATTATGTCTTCTCACACTGCGTTTGAATTTATATTAAATTTATGCATTGGAATCAAGAAGGAGATTAGGAATCTTATGTGGTGCCACACTACGAATTATAGTGTTGGCACCTTATTAGGTTCTTATAGTTCTCTCTTTTCCCAGTTTGGATTTGAGATAACTCTTTTTCCTAACTTGGGAATCAAATACTTATTTTCAAATATAAAAATTTTTTTTTTTGAATGATCTTATATAATAAAATTTAGTGAAGCATAATATATTTTGGTATGCATGTGTGGGCCTGTAATTGATTAATCATTATATTGCGTTATAAAGTGGAGTTGGGATGAGTTGTGATTATGGAAATTAAGTGTTTGCTTTCGAATTTATATTACATTTTTGCATTAGAGTCATGAAAGAAATTAGGAATCTTTTAAGGGAAGTGTAACTTGTTTAAAAGCCTACGTGGCACGCCACGTTACTAGTTATAGCATTGGAACTTTTGGGTAGACATTTCTTGAACCATAACCTAATCTTGGGCAATGCAAATATAGGAGTTGATTTGAAGAAAGCAGAGTGATTTTTGGTCGAGTTATAACATGAATAATCATGGTCAACATCAAGGAGCCATAAAGAGGAGTGGGATGGATGGAAGGCATAATATGTCATGTGATGTATATGACGAGAGACGGATAGGTTCAGTGGAGGTGGATTCACTCATGATTTAGAGTTCTTTCTTACTCACTTGATTTATATTGTTGAGAGTTATGGCTCTGATACCATGAGGAGGAGTCTTCTCAAATCTCTGAGACTCAGTATAGAGAATTACAGGTTATGTTATCATTTTATTTGTTATAATGTACTATTTTTCTAGCTTGTTATCCTATTTGTACATGTTTTAAATTCATCTTTGATTACAAGAACTTTATTATCTTGCCCATCATTTCTCACTCTTTTTCAAAAGAGGCAAAAGGAAGCAAGTAGAATACTTGTTGCTTGAAAGACTTCTTATGTATTTGTTATAATGATTTATGTATATTGTCATCTAAGATCATTACATCTTTTATCATGAAACTAATGTTATATTTATCAGTTTTTGGATTTTTTGGATAAGTGTATGGTAGAGTGTTGTTAGTTTGGGCAGAGGTCATAGGACATTTAGCATATGACTTATACGTGGATCCACAATGTTATTATTGTTTAGGAAATTTATATGTCGATGCTTTTAAATTATGTGTTATTTCATTACACATATTCACAAAAACGCTTAAGGTACAAGATTCAAAGGAACTGATAAGACCCCGAATAAATGGGGCATGACTTATCAGAGGCGACATAGAAGGGGTTCAATTTAACAAGTTGACCTGGTCTTATTTGATTATTTTAAATTGTATTTTTATGTTTATCGGTTAGCTGAATAAGTGGACAAGTTAGTTAGTCCTGAGTCAGTAAGTATATTTCCATATTTCCCATTTTATTGTTATCTTAAGAATGTAGGGAGAGTCCGTAGAATAATATTTCAGTGAATTGTTTCAGAGATTCTCTTGGGCTATTCTCTTATTTTGAGCGAGATACTTGCTGTGAGTGAGAGATTAGAGTGCTCTCGTTCCTCTCTTTTTTTCCTTCTATATCTTTTTCCAGTTTTCCAGTGAGGGTACTTACCATTTTGGCATCAGAGCCATGGTTGAAACTCGTTCTTTGGATATGATTGCAAAAAGAGTTGCAACTCTTGAAGCAGTTTCAGCTAGGAACAACTGAGACCGAGGTACAGGAAGGAGGAGATGGGTTGATGACAATGACGATGAGTCTGAATCATATAGACAAGGACACAGACTGCCCCATACGAAAATTGAATTCCCAAAATTAAGTAGGGGTGATCATAGGGGTTGGGTGCTCCAAGTAGAGAAATATTTCAGGTACTATGACACTCCTGAAGACTCGAAGTTGATATAGCATCAATGTACCTAGAGGGTGAAGCTTTAGATCTATTTTCGTGGATCAATTCAGAAAGGACCTTCCTGTACTGGGACGAACTGGTCAAGGCATTACAAGAACACTATGGTCCACCAGAATTTCAGAACCCCGATGAATATCTATGCGCCATCAAGCAAACCGAATCTGTGCATGACTACTACTAGGAGTTTGCTCGCCGTGCTACTCATGTGAAGGACTGGCCAGAGCATTGCCTTCTCAGTGTGTTCCTTAATAGATTCAAAGAAGAACTATGAGCAGATGTGCGGGTGTAGAAGCCATGAATAGTCTACCGAGCAGCCAGTCTAGCGGTGGAATTTGAGAAGAAGTTAGGGGCCACTCGTGGGCCCAAGCCCACTAATCTCTTAACCCAAAGTCACTCAACCCAGTCCGGTTACTACCTAAATTCCCCACGTGACCAGAACGCTGCTTCTTCCTTAACCTTTCGTGCGGCTATAATGAACTCCTCTTCTCGGCCAAATCAAACCACGTCGTCCTGATCGACTGCATTGGACGATGAGAGGCAACGAAGGAGATAAGGGATTGTGTTTCAGGTGTGGAGCTCCCTTCTGTCCAGGCATTGCTGTTCCGGGTCACTCTCCCTAATGGAGGTTGATGAAGACGGGAACCCCGTGGCCGACTCCTTAAAACCTATAGAAGAGGTCGAAGACGATGAAACTACCACTACTGAAATTTCATTCAACGCTATACTGGGTCGACGGACCTTTGCCACTATGAAACTTAGTGGGAAAATTCATAACAAAGAGGTGCAGCTCCTTATTTAATAGTGGGTCTACCCACAATTTTATTTCTGCTACGTTGGTCAATGAACTACAGCTGACTACCAGTACTATTCCTACTCTCGGGGTTCAAATCGATGATGGGAGAGTAGTTCGCTGCAACTACATCTGCAAAGATCTTAAAATCAAATTACCCGGTTTGACCATTAAACAAGATTTTTATCCGTTATGGTCCTAGGTATTAAATGGCTTGCATCTTTGAACACCATTTAAGCAAACTGGAATGACATGCTTTTAATCTACTAGGTTAATGGAAAGAAATATAAGTTGCAGGGGGTCCCATGTGCTGAAAATTCTGACGTAGGCTTACACTCTATGGTCTCTATTGAACTCAGATTGGGGTCAAACAGTGCTGGTGTGTTGGACTTAGATCATTTGTATGTTGAGTTTGATGCTGTTTTTCAGGAACCGAAGGTCTTACCTCCATTTGGAGAGCACTTCCACTCCATACCCCTCCTTCCAAATTCACAATCCCCCAACTTGCGGCCATATCGGTATCCGTACTATCAAAAGAATGAGATTGAGTGATAGGTAGATGAACTTCTTGAGAAGGGGTTTATTCGGCCCAGCTCAAGTCCCTTTGCAAGCCCAGTGTTTCTTGTTAAGAAGAAGGATGATTCTTGGCGCATGTGTGTAGACTATAGGGCTTTTTAATGAATTGCATGGTGCTGCTTATTTCTATAAAATTGACTTGCATTCCGAGTATCACCAAATTAAAGTCTTGGTAGCTGATATTCCTAAGATAGCTTTTCGAACACATAGTGGGCATTGTGAATATCTTGTCATGCCTTTTGGTCTCACCAACACCCCTGCCACTTTCCAAGCTGCCATGAATGATTTTTAGACCTTTCCTTCGTAAATTTGTGCTTGTATTCTTTGATGACATTTTGGTGTACAGTTATGATCCGCAACAGCATGAAAAACGTCTTAGAATGGTTTTTCAAACATTGCAGCAACACTCTTATTTTGCCAATTTCAAAATATGTTTTTTGGGACAATTATATGTCTTTTTCTTCGGTCACTGTGTAAAGACTATGCTTTTTGTTGGTCCCCCTGAGGGAATGGCCGATACTTACAAATGTAACAGAATTACGTGGCTTTCTAGGGCTCAGAAAGCCTTTGAGAGGCTTAAGCTAGCTTTGATTTCTGCACCTGTTTTAAAGTTGCTTGATTTTAATTCTGATTTTATCGTGGAGTGTGACGCCTCTATGGAGGGTGTTGGTGCTATTCTTTTGCAACAGAATCATCCGGTTGCCTTCTATAACAAGGGTTTTGCCTTTTCTAATAGATATAAATCTGCCTTGATCGCGAGCTGTTAGCCATGGTGCTAGCATTATAGAAGTGGCGCCATTACCTGCTGAGTCGCCATTTTACAGTCCAAACAAATCATACCAGTCTTAAGAGTCTCCTAGAGCAACGAACTCTCACCAACAACTAGCAACGCCTCATTCTCAAGCTGCTTCCTTTTGATTTTTCCATTGTCTATAAAGTTGGTAAGGAGAATATTGGAGCTGATGCATTACCTAGGAGGCCCCAACATGCTAACTTTCTTCATCTGGTTGTGCCAAGGCCCTTGGACTTTTTGGGTTTGGAAGAAGCGCTGCTGGAAGATCAAATTTCAGCATCTATCATTGTTGCCTTGAGAGAAAACCCTCATGCAAAACTATTCCTTAGTGGAGTAGAGGCTATTTCAATAGGAGCTAGAAGTTCTCCACTGCGTGCCAAGTTACTTGAAGAAGCGCACATTACACCTTCTGGAGGTCACGGTGGATTTTTGAAGACATCAAAGCAACTCTCTAGTACTGTTTATTGGCCTCAGATGAAATTTGATGTTAAATCATTCATTCAGCAATACTTCACATGCCAAAAGAGCAAATATCGACTCCTACACAAATTTGGGAAGATATTTCGATTGGTTTCATTGTTGGGCTGCCCAAATATGGTAGCTATGATACTATACTAGTGGTGGTGGATCGGTTAAGCAAGTACTGTCATTTAATTCCTTTAAGTCATCCATACACTGCTAAATTTGTGGCCACCAATTTCTGTGAAGATATTGTTCGCCTACATGGGATTGTTAAATATGATTAGTTTTGATGATGTTAAATAATAGAGCAAAAAGTTTGCATAAATTATTTATTTTATATTTTGACTAACTATCATCATACTTAATATCTTGTGTAGTTTTCTGAAGAAAAGAAAGGAGTTATTATGTTGAACTTTGAGTTATGGAGAATGATCAAGAGGAAGAAGAAGAAGAGAGATTGAGAAAAGAAGAACTTGCAAGACCAAATGGAAATATCAAGATTCAAGTTCATAGATTTGATGTTAAAGGTTGCTATGCTCAATCAGAAGTTTGAATGGCTCAATCGAAAGCTAAAATGCACAAATCGGAAGTTATATAATCATATATTGAGTCACCCTTCATATAAACATTGAAAATAAGCTTCAGAGGTGATTTTCATGGGCATTTATCGATCAATTGATCGATCATCTACTTATCGATCAATTTAGTGATAAAACACATACTCTGTTATGCTCTGTTCTTTGTTCAGCTCTGACATAGGTTCGATATTTCTCTAATATCTCTTAAACCACAAATCCGTTTGAGGTGAAACAATTCATATGAAACTAGACTCAGAACACGGTTCATGGACACCAAGATCAGCTCCAAAGAGTTTCATATGAGGGAGATATGTTGTTCGAAACATTGCAGTAAGGATTAAAGCCTTTATTCTGACCTTCAGTCACTGCGATGAAGATAACTTTGCAACTACGATGAATTTCGGGATGATTCTTCTTGCATTGGAAATTTGGAAAATTTGCAAAATTTGGAGTTGAATTAGAAGATTTATGATCACTCAAAGTTGACCTTTGTTTTGCTTGAATCAGAAT